AAATAAATGAGAGGATAAGTATGCCCACAAAAGCCAAAGTTGTAAAAATTAATTAATTAATTAATTAAATGGAAAAACCCATTAGTTTATTAATAACGAAGAATCTATTATAGAGGAATAGAATACAATTTTTATTAATGATAATTCTTTTATTGGTTATTTTTCTTTTTTACTTTGAACAATAATTACATATGTATTTATCTACTATTGAATTTTGATTATATATTTAATTTTATAGCGAAATATTTGTTGGGGGAAAATTACCCATATTCATTAATTATATGTTATACACATACTAACAACTATAATATAATATTAATAACTTATAATTAATTATGCAAATATAAAGTACAATCAAACTTGAAATATAATATTAAAATTGATCGAAAAATAATCGAACGGAGAATTTAAAAAGAAAATACAAAATGATAATAACAACACAGACTCGATACACTCAAATAGAAATCAAAAACGAAAAAAAAAAAGAAATTCATAAAATATTTTTATTTACAATTTCATGGGTTATCTCTCTCTCTCTATAATCCATAAGAGAGATCATAAAGAGATGTTGCAGAAGAAACCCTCAAGATCACAGACTTTGCATTGCAAGCACTCTTTCTTTTTTTCTTTTTTTTTTGTTGTTTTAATAATTTTTATCACCATCACCCAAATTTTGCCCATTAATTTGTTTATTGATTGATAATTGATAATTATCGACGGCAGTAATTAAGCTTAATTAATTAAGCATTGCTTCTGAAGGATCCAAGAGCTTTAATGGCTGCGGCTCTGAGAACGTACTGGTGGTAAATTGCAGCAATTGCAGCTCCAATAAATGGTCCGACCCAGAATATCCACTGAAAAAATAATTATTATAATTAAGAAAATATTAGTTAATTAGTTTAAGAATTCATTAATTAATTAATAATTAACGAGTAATTACGTGGTCATCCCAGGCTTTCTCATCGTTGAAAATCACAGCAAGCTCCAAAACTCCTAGCTGGGTTAATCCCAGTTCCAGTTATTGGAATCGTAGCCAAGTGAACCATGAACACAGCAAACCCAATCGGGAGCGGCGCCCATACCTTCAATTTCACCACCACCCCCACCGAAAAAAAGGAAACAAATTAATCAATAATTAAACTGTAATTAAAAAATTAATTACAATTTATGAAAAGTGAGAGGAGTGATCAGGTGCATACAGGAACATGGGAGTCCCGTGCATTTCTCTTAGGATCAGTGGCCGCGAACACTGTGTAGACAAGAACAAAGGTCCCGATTATCTCCGCACCCAATCCAGTCCCCTTGTTGTACCCACCATTCAGCGAGTTGGCCCCACCACCATACCTATTATAGAATGAACTTTGAAACGCTTTGACCAATCCCACACCGCAGATAGCACCCAAACACTGTGCTACCATGTACATAATCGCCCGGATCAACGACACCTTTCGCGCCAAAAACAACCCTAACGTCACCGCCGGGTTTATATGTCCCCCTGCATATACGTACATACAAATTTTTATGCTTTATAGTTCAAATTTTGTGTAAATATATGTGTATGTACAGACGGAGAGAGTGGTGTACTGACCAGAGATTCCAGCAGTGCAGTAAACAAGGATGAAAATCATGCCGCCGAAGGCCCAAGCGATTCCGAGAAGGCCGACGCCGCCGCACACGTCGGTGCCGGCCTTCGTTAAATCAGTCTGGCTTTTGTGTCCGATCACCGTTAACACCGTTACGTATAGGAACAGAAGTGTGGCTACGAACTCCGCGATTAGTGCCCTGTAAAACGACCATTTCGTCAGCTCCTCGACGTCAATTAACGGCGCCGGTGGAGGGTCGTGGTAATCTTTCGCCGAGAACTCCCCTTGCTCCGCAACCTCCACGTCCTTCGTCATCGTTAATTAAGTGTTGATTAATTGGTAATCACAGTGGTAATTGCGATTAGTAGATGTAAGTGTGGGTTGTTAGTGGGGGGAAAAGGAAGGGGTATATATGGAGGAGAGCGGGAAGGATTAATGATTAATTAATTTACTTAGTTATAATTATAATTATAATTTTTTTTTTTTAAAAAGGCCGCCCATTGGACACCTTTACGTACCGATTTTGTGAGCTTGCAAATGGGCCCACAAAGGTTAGCTACTACTTAACCGCTACCTTATTATTCTCTTTGGTTTTTTCACTTTTTACTTTTTTTGTGGTGATTAATTATAAATTATATATTTTTTTTTATTTTATTTATCGAGGTGTATAAATTTTAAATTTTCATTATAAATTTCTTTTTCAATTAAATTAATAAAACATTAATCACAAATGTCGACGAATTTAATTAAACCCATTTTCATATTCTATATGTATGTATATATGTTGGAATTTAAAAATTAAAAGATAAGCTACTCATCATAAAATATAAATAAATAAATCCACAATGATTAGTGGGGAAGTAATTAATAAATTATAATTAAAATAAGCACAACGTTATCGTGTTGGGGGCTGATGATAGCTTTACAGAGGAACTTATCTGGATTGGACAGACCTAAAACAAATTAATTTTTAAATTTGGTTATGGTTCCTACCATTTATATATACAGGCTGCATACATACATACATACATATATATATATGTATATGTTTACATATACATCAATCCAATATCCAACTAGATATATAAGATTGCAATCTTTCTTTTTAATTTTATTAAAACTTAAACCTTTGCAAATGAATTTTCCTTGCATCCAACCAAGAGAAAAGTCTAAAATAGTTTCATACCCATAAGTGATTTCATTAATTACATGTTAAAAGTGATTAATTAAGGCTAAATTTTGTATAATTTCACCTGCTTTAATATGATCCATATACCGAACTTTATCTTTATACAAAAATAATAATAATAATTATTATTAAAATATAATTTAATTATATTTATACCCTAATTTTATTTACGTATAAATATAATTTAAATAAGTCTAAATTAGTTCATTGAAATTTAATCGTACCATACCAATTTAAAAATAGAAATATATGACCTCATTGTATATACATATTAAAAATATGTTGTTTATTAATTTGTGATAAGATGGTGATTGCATATTGAAGACGATCAACTAATCTCTATTATATCATGTAATTACCAATTAATTATATTTTGTAATACAATTTTTTGATACAAATTTGAAAACTCCATGAAAGTTTATATTATACTGACATAAAATAATTAATTAAACCGACCAAAAAATGTAGACCATGTTTTATATATTTTTTTAAGATGATGATGTGAGGAACCGACCGCCATTCCATTCTTAAGCCTTGTCGTTTTACGTTACTAAACGTTCACTTCATACGCCGTTTTAAAACCCAATTATCATCGCTAATACAATAATTAATCATTTATTGACAAACTCCCCCTAATTTTTTTTTATTGTTTTTAATTGATTTTCAAAAATTCCTTTTGGGTTATTTGGCTCAATATTGGTTTGTTGAATTTCAATAGTGGCTAGAAGAGCGCCACGTGTCCCATTATAAACCTTAATTTAATCGGAATTAAATCATTTAAATATTTTTTTAAAAAAGTTTTTTAAGTGATAATTAGTGGCGATTGTAATGGGTCGGTGACGGCTTTCTAAATATTTTAAGTAATAATGTTTATCACTTTAATCGTAATTATATAAATTGAAATTTTTGTCTTCATCCATCAAATTCAATCCCAAATATATAATGGTAAAAAAAAAAAATTATATCAGATTTACTATATGTATATGAAATTCTTAGTATTCAACTAAAAATAAACTATATACTTTGATATTATAATTTTTTTTTAAATACATCATAATATATGTCAATCTAACTATAAATAAAAATTAAAATATAAATCTCTATTTTAAATTAAGATTTCAAAACTACTATATCCAGTTGAGCATAATTAAATCGTGACTCCATTTTCTAAAATTTAACATGTAATTCACTAAATATTATGCGGTAACTGAATAACATGTGTTGTAATATTATAAATTATACAATAATCTTGATGACTATTGTATAATATTATCACATTACTATATCATGTTATGAGATTAGTGCATAATATCACTAAGAAATTCGGTAGACAACATAACTTTAGATGCCAAGGTAGGAGCACCCTGCATTCATCTGCAAAACCGGGGAGCATTCCCTAGGCAATTCGTATGATCTCTTGGATCGTTTGTCATCTTTCTCGTCATTATCAACATCAAAATCTTCTGATTGCTCCTCTTTGATGGGTTCTAGTTTTGGGCAGATAGTCGACGACTTCTGAGGCAAACCAAGGAGCAAAGGTGCAACCTCAATCCAACATTTGTATCTCATGGCGGGTCTCAGCTCTTTTGCCATTACTAAGGTTCCGAACAGCGAGAGAGTAACGTCGGTGTTGGTAAGATGGGAAGATAGCACTCGGGTGTCTCTCCAAACAGAAAGAGGGAGAGGAAGAATTAGCATCAACAATGAAATTGACAGAAGCTTGAAATAATTGGAAAGGAGGGACATGGATGAGTAGTTATCGAGGTAAAAGGAGAATCTAAAGGAGGGCTTTTATATAGGATTTGATGACGGCTTGAGAGAAAATTAAGGAAAGGGAATTAGGTGGGAGAAAATATAGGTAATCAACTTAAAAAAAAGCTAGAGAAAATAGTAACTTAAAATAGGAGATTCATTGATTAAAAATGGCTAAAAAATCTAACTTCTTGGAGAGGAAATAGGAGGGAATGGGGGAGAATTTACTCCACAACAGCAATTGTAATTTTTCTTTTCTGGAAGGAAGTTTCTGCCTAAAAAACTAAGTGCATCAAACCTAGTTTTTTCTCAAGAAGTAACTAATATAAGACACCAGAAACCATAAAATATAAGCCGCACAAAAGAGGTTTCCTCCAATTTAGAGATTTTAGGGGAAGGTTTTATGGGAAAACGGGCACATATCCTGTCTTTCTAATATTACATAATACTAATCCATTAATCATTTAATTACTACACGGTTTACTTAAGTTAACACCAACCCCATTTTGAACTCTTGATCGTTGGAACTTAACCCCGACCTTAAAATATAGAAATTGAATCCTCAGCATCGAAGAATTCAATAGGGTAACGGTGATAACTCAAGCATTACAAATTACGTTCTATTAATACAAGAATCAAAAGCTATTAATACAAGAATCAAAAGCGAGAATTGAATAAGAACAGGAACCAAAGACAATCCTGGAGTTCAGTTGTCTAAAGTTCTTCAAGGGAATCAAATACTTAAATCTTCCAAGTGGAGCATTCCACTAGATATAAATATTACAAGCTTCCGAACCTAATTCACAAGTTCTTAGCAAATCCAGAAGGATATTTTCTGGGCAGAAAAAACTTTAACCTCGATATCATATCTGACATACAGGAGTCTTAAGAACTTAAACAAACAACGATATACGAGTAGATTCTGTCGGCAATGTCATATAACCAGTAAAACAATACCACTTCAACCATACAGACAAACATACTCACTCTCCTCTTCTATAGTAAGTTCTATTTATAAATGGAGAGGAAAGTTTGCCTTGTACTGTTACACATAAACATATAGCATTTTGTGGTAGCTACTGATAAGTACAAAGGGAATATGACGGTGCGTAATAGAAAATACCAACGGTGGTAAATGCATATATTCGTCTCAAACTAAATGGGTTAGAAATTTGGAGCAAGTATAATAGGGCCAACGTTGATACAAATCATAGCAATTCTAAGATATTAAGCAATAACCAGAAATGTAAATGACCCAGATGCAGTAAGTATTCAAGACCCAAAATCTCCATCAGAGAAATGTAAAGCAGAAATTGGCACAGTTGAAAGCACAACCTTGACTAATAAAAATAGTTTTGTGTCCCCATTTCGGCGTCTAACCTTAATTGGTAAAAATCAACATTCTTTAGAAAGCTCCGTGAAAGCATGTCTTACTGAAATGCATATCATAAGCTAGTAATCATATGGAAATTCAAGACAGAAATGATGTACGTGTTATATACAACATCATCGTTGATGAAATTATTTCACACAGAATGACACCCCTTTGGACTAGAGTTCAATAAAGATACCTATAGACTACACCAAGTGCAGACTGAAATGAAACATCAAGGAACCATTTTCAATTCATTTCCTATAATTTCCTATGCAATCCAAGAAAACCAGATTAACAAGAGGCAATTGCTATGGGAGTAAACCATTCTATTTGTCATCTAAGAACTTCATTGAAGTTTGAATAGACAAAACTAAACTGAATCTAAAAGAAAAGCTCAAAAATTTCCAGGAATGTTCAATTATACCAAACAACCACTTGAAATAAACCAGTAGAAAGTAAACAAAAACAATGATGGAACCTTCTTTCCTCTATTCCTCTTACTCTAAGGGAATCTCAACATCGCCATCATTGATCTCCTGCTGCAAGTCCTTAGGGTCCTTTCCATCCACAGTGCATCCAACGGACACGCAGGTGCCAAGGATCTCCTTGACTGTGCCACTTAGATCCTTAGCCATGGATCTATGGCGCATGATCTTAGCGATCTCGATCACGTCATCAAGCGAGATGTTTCCATTGTGCTTGATGTTCTTCGTCTTCTTACGGTCCCTCTCTGGCTCCTTCAACGCCTTGATAACCAGCGCAGCCGCCGACGGAACCACCGATACCTTAGCTTGACGGTTCTGCACAGTGAGCTTGACAGTGACACGCAGACCCTTCCATTCCTTAGCCGTCTCCTTAGCTATATCTTCTCCTACCTTCTTCGGGGAGAGACCAAGTGGCCCGATCTTCGGCGCGAGTGAACTGGCTGCGCCGACTTCGCCGCCAGTGACCCGCACGAAGACATCGACGACTTGAGACGGGTCGAACTTGGGCGGCATTTCCCTTTCCTTTGCTTGATTGTAGGCCGAGAATGTACTTAGGGTTTCTTTAGCCGGGAGGAAGTTCAAAATATAGAGGTAGGGTTCATAGTAGTAGCCTGGATGACAAGACGGGTCGGGATATTCGGAATCCGGAATGTCCGAATGTCTACGAATTGGGTTCGGGTTTCGGGCTGTAAATTTCACAAATTTTCAAAACTCGGGTCAATTGAAATGGACCGATTAGAGGAAATTGGTAGAAATCATGGGCCGAATTTTAAATTGTGAAGAAGCCCTGTTTGTTGGATGTGATTGAACGGAATGATCTGGTATCAGTGGCCTTATCTTTCATTATTAGTTTCCTATTTGGGACCCCACCCTGCTCCATCAAACTACCTTTTCTTTTTAAGACGTTTTGACTTTAAGCTATAGAGATAGCCCATTATATATAATATGTGTGATGATGATGTGCGTATTAAATTTTCTATATTAATATAAAAATTAAGATTTTAGTTTCCACTCTTACCAATAACAAGATTGAGTTAGCAAGTAATTGAATACGATAATTATAAGTTCTATTTATGTAATATTAAGTTGATACGTAATTAGATATGAATTTTTATTTAATTATATTACATTTGAATTTAATTTTATAATTGTAATACTAAAAGTAATTAAAATAATATAAAATATGAATTTATATACTAAGGTAAACTATCTTTTTTTAAAAAAAAAACAGAGAAACAGTGATATTGATGTCAACATTTTGAAAGCTTCAGAGAATGGGACCCACCATTATTATATTATTAATATAATACAAACGCGCTCGACAACGCAATCCAATAATTAACCAATAGTATCAAGTGATAATTGTTGCAGGCCTGGGACCCACAATTTTTTGGATATTTATTAATAGTTTTTTAAAAAACTATTATTATTATTAATTAAATCTAAATACATTTTTTTCAACATGAATATATATAAGATTAAAAATAATTTCGAATTTGGAGGGCGAAGAATATAAATACCATCAAGATAAACACGTTGAAGTGGTCACACGCCTATTTTATATATATATATATATATATAGAAAATTGAATGATATAATAATAGAAGCCACGTGTACAGTAGTAGCCAGCTAATTATTTATTCTAATGGTGGGCAGCAGCAAACACCCATTATCACGCGAATTTCAGAATCACCCACGAGAATCACTACTTTCGAATCAAAATTTTATTTATTTTTTTGTTTCCCCACATAATATACTCCAATTATTAAATAAAATAAATATCATCAAATAATTCCCCATTTCTACAATTAAATCACATTTTTTTCACCAACATAATTGGTTATCAAAATTTAAATTTAAATGTAAAATAACAAAATCCTACTTTTTTTTTTTCTTCATATAGTTGAAGTGTGATTTTTTCTTATGCTCCCTATATTTTATTCATATACATTACTAAGGGGCGAGTTATAATAATATTTCTAACATTTTAAAATTTCAAACTTTCATTACGTACATGTAATGATAATTACGAAATAAGAATTATATCGAGTCAATTAACAAAGATGCATAACAAATAGTTAATTCAGAATTTCGAGTCTCTGCCGATGGATTGTTCAGATTTCATGATAATGTGTGTTACAGGTGACAGTGAGTTGAAAACGGACATCATGACAGAAGCTTAAATCTCAAAGTTTGTCATGCATCCCGTGAGCACTAAGATATATCACAGTATACGACCCTGATTTTGGTAGAACGAGATGAAAAGAGATGTGGCCGACTTTGTTTCTAAGTGTTTGGTATGTCTGCAGGTCAAGGCAGAGCATCAACGCTCAGACGCGCTACTTCAGTCATTACCAATTCCATAGTGGAAGTGGGAATATATCACCAAGAATTTCGTGACATGATTGCCTAGTAACGCGCAGGACATGATGTCATCGTGGTAATTGTTGACTGGCTTACCAAATCTATCAACTTCTTAACCATCAGAATGACTGACTCCTTCAACAAGTTAACAATAATGTATATCCGGGAGATAGTCAGATTACATTGAGTGTTAGTGACAGTAGTGTCCGACAGGGACCCCATGTTCACTTCTCAGTTCCCGATAAATGATTTTATTTATGATAAATGAATTTACTTAAATTAAGAGTTCCATTAGTCGTTTTTATAATTTATATCAACCTTCATTTTTGTATCAGTGAGTAGTGTGATATTCTTATTGGGGTAGTATAACTCACTCTTTCATTAACCATTTCAAATCAAAAGGACCAGGATTCAGCGCCCGATCCATAAGAGGGTTGCGAGTAGCACGTTCAGTTTGTTTACTTTTAATTTATTTTTTTGCTTATTAATTGTTCTTTTAGAATGGTTATTCCTGTATTCTCTATTTGGTACTTTCAGTTATTGTGTAAGGAATGTAAACTTTAACTATTTATTTCACTTCCGCACTAAATTTATAATTTGTCTCATTTGGAGTTTCAGGCTCATTACACAAGACATGATGCTATCTGGATAATTATTAACCGCCTCACCAAGTCTTCTCATTTTTCGCCATCAAGATGACCGTCCTATTCGATAAGCTAGCAAGAATGTACATCCAGGAGATAGTTAGGTTACATGGAGTGACAGTGCTAGTAGTGTCCGATATGGACCATAGGTTCACTTATCGATTCTTGTATAGTTTTTACTAAGTTATGGGAACAAAACTGTCCCTTAGTACTGCATTCCACCCTCATACCGATAGACAATCAGAAAGGACGATTCATACACTAGAGGATATGCTCCGAGCTTGTGTTCTTGATTTCGGGGGCAACTGGGACGATCATTTATCCCTGATAGAGTTCGCCTATAATAACAGCTACCAAGCAAATATTGACACAGCTCTGTACGAGGTGTTGTATGGCTTACCAAGTCTTTCTACTTCTTAGCTATCAGGATGACTGACTCTTTCAACAAATTAGCAAGAATGTATATTTGGGAGATAGTCAGATTACATTGAATGTTAGTGACAGTAGTATCCGACAGGGACCCCAGGTTCACTTATCGGTTTTCGATAAATGATTTTATTTATGATAAATAAATTTACTTAAATTAAGAGTTCCATTAGTTGTTTTTATAATTTATACCAACATTCATTTCTGTATCAGTGAGTAGCGTGATATTCTTATTGGGGTAGTATAACTCACTCTTTCATTAATCATTTCAAATTAAAAGGACCAGAATCCAGAGCCCGACCCATAAGAGGGTTGTGAGTAGGACGCTCAGTTTATTTACTTTTAATTTATTTATTTGGTTATTACTTATTCTTTTATAATGGTTATTCTCGTATGCTCTATTTGGTACTTTCAGTTATTGTGTAAAAAATTTAAAGCTTAACTATTTATTTCACATTCGCACTAAATTTATAATTTGTCTCGTCTAGAGTTTCGGGCTCATTATATAGGACATGATGCCATCTGGGTAATTATTGACCGCCTCACCAAGTCTTCCCATTTTTTTTCCATCAAAATGACCGTCTTATTCGATAAGCTAGCAATAATGTACATCGGGGAGATAGTTAGGTTATATGGAGTGCCAATGCCAGTAGTGTCTGATAGGGACCCTAGGTTCACTTCTCGATTTTAGTATAGTTTTCACTAAGTTATGGGAACAAAACTGTTTCTTAGTACTGCATTCTACCCTCATACCGATGGATAATCAGAAAGGACGATCCATACATTAAAGGATATACTTCGAACTTGTGTTCTTGATTTCGGGGGCTATTGGAATGGTCATTTATCCCTGATAGAGTTCGCCTACAATAACTGCTACCAAGCAAATATTGACACGACTCTGTACGAGACGTTGTATGGCTGCCCATGCAGATTGCTGATCTATTAGAAAGGAATAGGTGATAGAAGATTATTTGGCCCAGATGTTGTATAGGAGACTGCAACCAAAATAATTAAGATCATGAAGATCATTCAGACGGCTCAGAACAGATAGAAGATTTATGCGGATATCCAGAAAATGGATTTAGAATTTTAGAAAAGTGATCGGCTGTTCCTTAAGGTCAATCCTTTCAAGGGAATCAGTAGGTTTTGCAAGAAGGGGAAACTAAATCCTTGATTTGTTGGGTCATTTGAAATTTTAGACAGAATTGGCACCACCGCCTACAGACTGACACTGCCTCCCGAACTTTTCAGGGTCCATAATGTGTTCCACGTATCCATGCTACGCTAGTACATCCCGAACCCCTCTTACGTCTTCATTCACGAGACTCTTTCATTTCAGGAGTTGTCCTACGAGGAAGTACCGGTGATATTGAGGACCAAAAG